CAGTAAACAGAGCATCACCGTAGTAAACATTGCATCTTTAATTTTTTTATCTTTCTGTACAGTATAATTTTTTTGTGTGTACAGTACTGTACTTTCTGTGTATGTATAAGATTGTATACTAAAAATATTACGAAATTCATGTGCAATACATTACATAAAATACACAGTAGTATGTATTTCATAAAACAAACTATTTTGTACCTTTAACAATACAACGTGCTCCTTATTTTATGGGAAATAGTATGTCAGTGTTCATTTTTTGCATGCTACTATGCCTGGAAAGCACTTTGTTTGGTAATCCGAACGATTCGATAGTCCGAACCACCCCCGGTCGCAATTAGTTCGGATTATCGAGGTTCTACTGTACTTAATAGTATACATGATCAACTTAAAGGTGCTGTTCTAAATGCTGTAGCGGTTATTCATACTTAAGAAACAAGCAAAATTTATAAAATAACACTCATCAGCTCTCATATAAGACTACTTTGTTGATAAAACAAATAATGTCAAAAATGACAATCGCAAACCACGTTTTTAGTAACTGTTATAGTAATTATGTCTAATCGACAAGGAAAAATAATTTAATTTTTGCTCATAAACTGTTAAGTATACGAAAAAATGAGAAGAGTGGAAAAAGTTTCTAAATTAAATGTGGTATTAAAAGCTATTTTTCTTGTTAGAATTTGGCAACGTAGAAAAAAGTTCTGAGAGAAATAAAACTAAGGGATGCTAATTTCTTTCATTCAAACACATAAACCAAAAAAAAATACTACTAAAAATATCATTCAACTAGTTGTTAACGTGTACCAAAATTTAAATTTCTAAGTTTAACTGATTTCGCGAAAAAAATAAAAGCTAATTTTTTCGGCCATTTTGACATTCGAATATTTTCACAGGGAGGGCTCAAAACGAAAAAATATATTGGAAGTACCCCGCCCTAAAATTACTTTGTAAACACCCACTTAAAATATTTGCACATTATTATGAAACATACTGTATAATAATAACAATAACTGTCTCGGCTTCGCGATCGTCTTGCGAAAGCGATCTGGGTGTTCTCGTCGTCGGTAGCCGCGGTTCACTCTTCGTGAATAGCTTCGCCATTGCCTGCGACATCTCCACTAACTGTTGCTCGACGCTATTCAGTCTGTCGTCTTCTGAACGGGCATGATTTTCGACGTAGTTTGCTTGTTTGAGGCTGATGTTGCTTGCTGCGTTGCGCGAAATAAAAACCACTCTAACTGCACAAAATCGCGTACTTTCACTGAAAAGATCACGTCGAGGTCACCACTTGAGGGTTGCTTTCACTGTACAGCAAGAATAAAACGCTCTCTCAACGGTAATAATAAAGTATTTTATTGAAAACTAAGTTGTATAGAAAAAGACGTGTTGACGGGGTGAGTGTTCGTTGGAGAGTCCCCTGTGTGCGGAGTCGGTCGTAGGTATATGAGTACGCATCTGGTCGCCGGCGCCAGTCCGCCGTAGACCCTTCCTGGAACACTGGGGAGTCCGGCGGCATCCTGCTGGCGCTCTTGACGTAATGCTTAAAAATGGGTCACTTGCGGCATGTGTACCCACAACTTAATAAAACACACAGTTGTTTTACAATTATTAAACGGTAACAACCGACAACACCGGTAACAACGCTGTTGCAACGGGGTCTGTATACTGCCGAGTACCCTCGTAAATAAAAGTTTAAATGTAGTTTAAAAACAAATGATACCTTGACTATTATATATTATTACCCCTAAAATACCGACCCCCTGTATAAGCTTAGACTTTCGAATCAAAACAATAATTCAGTCCGATTTTGGTATGTAGCTACCGCAATACTGGTTTATAAGCTCAAGTGAATATTTTACTTTGAATCATCCGTGACGTTCGGTTTTTATACGCACTTTACTTATTTTCGTGTGGTCTTAAACTTCAAAAATCTCGCTTAATGCGACGATTTTCAATGTGCGTTGCCTCGGGCCCCGAGTATACCATGGCCCCGTGAACTTTTTGAGCCGCTCTAAACCGACCTGTAGCCAAACAAGAAAACTGTTGCCAAAAGAAACCTCTTCGAATTCGTCTTCACATTTACACGATTAAATCCTCGAACTTCGCAAAGAGTGAACGAATCAACATTAAATATTAATCCTGATATTTTCGTAAATGAAATTACTGTCTCAAAGCGATATCAGGCCGAATTAAGTATGTCTGGAAAGTTCTGGAAGGAATTGCGTACGTTTAGAAGCAATTTCGCACTTCTAGGAGTTTTTATTTCTCAGAGACGAACTCATCAAGCTTTATTACACCTTTATTTGTCGAGATCGACATACAATTAATTTATATTGTAATTCGTACATACAGAGCCTAACTTTGAATGAGGGACTGAGAAACACGCATCATAAATTTGTTTTCTCAAATTCCGTGGTGAATTTTTTATTTTTAATTTTTTTATACTCCGCCACTGGACAAGAAAGTGTGATCTCAAAGAACGTTTAATTTAAAGGAAAAGTTATTAAAAAGCAAATTTCCACTCCACCCCCTGTGCAGTACTGCTGTTTGTCGCGCTACTTGACATATTTGAGTTGTTCGTCACAATTCCTATCATTCCACATAAAAGATATTTTATCTGCTTCCACTATAGTGAATAGACTATTATTAATACATTGTTTTTAAGGAGGTAAGTGGATTTTACCGTAGAAGTGCAAGTTGCTATGGACAACGCGAGTTCGAGTTATAAATGCATATTTTATGAACAAATAAATAGAAAAATATTTGATGAACATTACATTTTATTAATTGTTATGAATGAAATATTTATAGAACTGTACAGTGTACAGTTATTACATTTAGTAACATTTATAAAATCTGGATAATTATTCCCCTCGCGTTTACTAATTGTCACATTTTTCTCAAAATGATTTGACCGCTCCATTTCAGCCACCGGAGGCTCAATATTATCTGACTGATCAATTAAAACTGCATGACGTATTACTAGAAACCTGGAGTTGAAGTGTCATTGTAAAGAATCCTGTTGGCTGTTTCATTTTTGTTACTTAAACTGTCAGCAACATAACTTTTTGCAATTGTGGCTGATTTCCATCCACCATGTCTCTTGATTGTTAATACATCAACTCCTGTATTAGCCAGTAACGTTGCCGATGTTCTTCGGAATGAACGCCTGTATATGTTTCAGGATGTTCTAGTTTCAAAAACTGTGCAATCTTATTAGGAATTATAGAAAGGGTATTCTTATTCACTGGTTGGTTGTAACATCTACCTGCTTGATAGCGTGACTTATCAGTTTTAATTTCCAATCTAATCTAGACATATTTCTTGAGAATTTCTAGGTGAGAAACAGAACCTCGACGAGAGGTAATTGTAAATGTACGTGACATACCATTTTTAGAATCTGGAATTGTAATTACAATAATGTCATCAAATTTTTTTAAATTGACGTTATCCAAAGTAAGTTTGTATAACTCATCAGAACAACTGCGATACCTAAGACCGTCACTACCTTCATTAGCAAATATCGGGTGCCTGAACGAGAAAATCGTTGACTTGTTTTCTTGTAAAAAAAATTTAGGTATAGCCGTCATTCTTACATTTTTCAAAAATGGGGTATTTTGATATATCCACGTTCTCCTCTATGAAAATAATTGACTTAATCACTGAGTATTCACTCCACCAACTCGCCGGTGACTTTAAAGTTCTTGACTTCTCCATGAAATATGCTAGCAGTGACATTTCAGAAACTCCAGTATCTTTGTTCTGGCACCATCTTTGAAATTTGTTTATGCTCGTCCGTAGCGCACCTTCGACTTCTCGGGCAATAAAAATTCGCAGGCAGCATTTGCTGCACTTTCTATTTAAAAATAACTCATTTAGAAATAATAATTCAAAACCAGCAAAATTGCAACTTTTATGTAGGTTTTGTTTATAAACACCTTAGAAACGCAAAATCCAAAGATTTCAAATAATGTCACAAAATAAAACTTAATCTTTATGTCATGAACCATAAAGAACTGTGGGAGGAGATGATAAAATGTTATACACCACGCAGCAGTTAAGTATAATTTACCAGTCTCGGACTCTGTTGCCAGCTCTCGCTCCGCTCGGGCGCAAAATCGTCCTCCTTTATGGTGTAAATAATAACTATTAAATTTTATGAAGTAGATAAACTATGAAACAGTACTTAACAATTAAGCTAACAGAAATCTCAAGCAGTAAAATTTCTCACTCTTTGAGTTTGTTCCTTTCCAACGTAAACGTATTGGGATTCAAAACTCCTATAATCTCTTAAATGAGATACCAATCTTAAGACATTTTCTTAATAGGTACTTGTTGGTCGGGATAAGCCATCTGATATCTTGCAACAACATCTTTTTCTTCTGATAAAAAGTAAACGTTAAGCATATCAACTCGTTCTTGATTCATATACATTATTTTTCATAATATCACACGAAAACACGAAATATACTGTACCTTTACTAAACACTGATAAGGTTATATACTTACACTACACAAAGCAACTTCACAAACTAAAATAAAAAAACATAATGAAGGGGTGATGTCGTATTCGGCCATTCACGTTTCGTGGCGAACAAGTTTGTTTTTTACCCTTTTACCATCCTGTTATATTACACCAGCTATGAAGTCAACTGAGAGTAGTGACTTTTTAAAGGCGGTGATAACGCATGTGTACTGAACAGCAGAGGCTAATCACTGTTGCTTTTCGTAAGCGTTCGGAACAAGATTGGGTTCTGCTTAAATTTAAACTCTTCACGGTTTAATTTTGTTACCCTTATGTTTATCTTTGATTAATTTAATATATCTAGCACCGATTGGCTGCTGAAGCGTCTGAATAAGAAAAGGCCTGCTTTATTTGATTACAAAAAAAAATTCAAACTATGACCTCCACTTAACGTTACATGCTGTATATTTCGTTTTGTTTTATTTATTTTACAGAAGAAAATTTCACGTTAATGTCGATATACTCTACTCACCTGCCTAATAAGTATACGTAATCCTTGCAGCAATGCCTCCTGGTGCAGTCAACCCATTTGCCTCCTACGTTGCACTTATATCTCGTTGTTATGACGTTGCTAGAGGGGCACTCCAGAGTTTCTGGTCTGGAAACGTGAGCTTATTTAGTCCAAATCACGTACATGTACATATTAGCAATGTATAAAATAATAAAATTAATGCAGTGCGATGGCTATTTATGGACGAGTATAATTTGGGGGGTCAATTTTAACAGTCCTTTTGAGATACGAAGAGTTCGACAACTTTTTCGTTGAAGTCGTGTATCTGTTTTATTTCCTTGTCATATTGTATTTCTTAAAAATATCATTATCCTTTTTAACAACTTTCACTTTCGACTTCACGCCTTCAGAATTTGCAGTTAGCATTAGATTTACTTAAAAGAGTCAAAATAGAAATATGAATATAAAAGGTGTAATCGTTTCATGGTTTATTGCAAAGGACAAAAATATAAGCAGTGTTCAAAGATGAAATCTTCAACTTATCAGCTAAATTATGATGAAGTTAATAAATTTAAAGGACCCCGCAATAATCTTATGGAAATTGGGTTTCTGTCAAATTGTCTGAATTTTTGATATGTTGTAGATTTTGTCATCCTGATCAAAAGTCTCCATGGAGTGCCAAAATGAACATTTTGGCAGCTACGGAGCTGCCAAAGCTCCCCTGACCCGTTGCAAAACTATTCATTTTCAATACTGTTTACAGATGTCAAAAGCATATTTTAATTATTCTAATATATAGGGTAATGCTTTTGAGGTCACTGGAATCAACCCTCAAATTGACCGTTGACAGCTGTCAATACACTGTCAACGAAGAATATAAAAATAAATATTCTCTTTTCACATTGAGAGTTTGGGCTTTTGAGCGAGCTGAATTCAATTCTCATGCCAAATTGGCAAAATTGACAGTTGACAGCTGTCAATTCACTGTCAACGAGGAATATAAAAGTAAATATCCTCTTTTTACATTGTCGTCCTGTATAAAATGACCAAAGTGAGGAAGACTTCATAGTTTTTGATAGTTCTTGCAAATATGCCATCATTACATTCTCGAAAAATGATTTAACGTCGTTTTTTAATCTCCATTCCATAAATCTTTGGTAAGTAAATGACCCCGCAGATTCCTTATGGAAAATGGCTTCCAGCCAATAGTTCTGAAAATTTGGATTTGAATAGTTCTCGAAGCTTAGATAAAAAGTTGTCATAGGCCCTAAGCTGAGAAAATTATATTTTTCGAAATATAGTGGTCGAAAGGTAGGAGTAGAATTGAAGAAGACTCATTGTAAGGTCAAATGAAGAGAAGCCGTGCAATCTGTCCAAAACACATATTTCTTAGATTGTCGGGGTTACTGAATCCGAATCAGCCATCCATTCGAGTATACAGATGAGTGCCAAACTCACATCAAGGTCAAATGAAGGTTCCTTATGGAAAATCGATTTTAGCCGATGGTTCAGTGAATTCAAATAGTTCTTGAAGCGTAGATTAAAAATAATCGTAGGTTTTTTTTTCAATGTGTATTAATATTGTAATATAACAACCCCGGGTTCGATCGAAAAAAAAAAAAAATAAATGTAGTTGTGGCCAGAAATATGTGATCGTCATAAGGCATATATAATTTATACCTCGCGGTGCTATAACTCCTAGCTTTCATCGACTACATCTCGGAAAATATCATTTTCTCAGCTTAGTGGCTATGATAACTTTTTATCTACGCTTCGAGAACTATTCAAATCCAAAGTTTCAAAACTATCGGCTGAAAGCTATTTTCCATAAGGAACCTGCGGGGTCCTTTGTATCGATATTCATATTTGACCGTAACGAGCGTTGTTTTTAGCAGCTTCTGCAATTTCACTAATATTGGGTGGAGTTAAATTTTCTATTTCACTCTCACTCGACATTTTTTATGTAATCAAACTAATTTTGTTTTGTAATATTACCCTCACATACAAATATGATTTAAGATTATGTCAGTTTTTGAATAGGTTTGCTTGTATTGACCGTTGCTAGGAAAACTGTACGATTTTTTTACCAAGCTGTGCGATTTTTTTACCGTACGTAACAGTAATCTTATATTGATCGCAGACAGTGTGTTTTTAAGTATTTACAGTAGTGATCGTAGGTAAATTGTTTTACGCATCATTGCCATCGGTTCCACAATCTAAATGGCATCTATTATAGATCGCATCATCAAGTTTCTTGTTGAGAACGACCATTCGACATTTACTGATGTTATATTTGCATAATTAAATAAGTCAGTAGGTATAGTTATGAATTGTTTGAAGACAACTAAAATCGTAAAAGAAATCGTTCGATTACAGGGAAATCGGCGATTAAACCGACAGTTATAACGAATGAAAAGTAATTTTTATAATTTCACAAAAAATTTACCTATTACTTTTATTGCAGTGAAATCTAATAGAACATAATATATTATTTAACCACATTACATATAATATGTTTTTATAATAATATAATTAAATTATTCAATTTACCTTTGTGTTTGTAGTAGAAAGTAATATTGACTANTTTTCATGGTACCAACCCAGGTTGTTTTTAGTATTTGTGTTTTCTTTGTTTAATCAAAATTTTCCTGTACGTTATTTGTTGTAAATTATTGTATATCAAGGTATGAATAAATCATTATTGATGCTATTATTGTCATTATTATTATATTCATAATTTTTGTTTCTAAAAATTTTGTTGTCGATACCTTTTATGGGACATTTAGATATTTTTTATTGCCAAGCAACCATTAGACTTAGCAATATTGTCTCTTTGTTTCATCTATTTCAAGCAACTTCGATACATTAAAACTAATAAAATTGGTTGCTTTTATTTTTTCATGGCCAACTGTTTGTAATGCTTATTTATGTGAGTAACATTATAAATCCCCTTCCAAGTACGCTTTGAAGTATAGGAGCTAATTAAATTAATGAAAAGCCACTTACCCGCTTGCGAAGGCGACCTCGTCGAGCGCATCGAGGTAGTACCCGTCCTGCGACGACAGGACCTCCTCGACGGGGTCCTGCGACGTGGGCGGACAGAGGAGGAGCGCCAGCGAAACGGCCCCCAGCAGCAGTGGTGCGATCTCTGTAGTCATATTCAGCAAACTAGCATGCCATTTACATCTTAGCAGTAACCGCTGATGTGTACGTTTGTTTACATAATTTGCAGCCTCACAAAGCACCTTAATGGGCTACACTGGGGGTTTTCCGGCTCCTAATGTCCTTGGGTTGTCTGCGGACGTGACTGTAAAGCTCGCATTAGGCTCGTTTGTGGGGTTTGAAATGTGTCTGCTGCTATTAAAGGTAAAGATTTAGAAAATATGAAAAAATATGAAAATAATGGGCCAAATGGCATAGGTCAAATATGAACATTATAACTAAACATGCCTTGGTATAATGTTGTGGGAAAAACATACATGATATTAAAGTTAAAATCATTTTTTCGTATTAATCGACAACGCTGTCGTAAAGTTTAGAAATAAATCATTTCTTAATATAAAAAAATCATAATTTATGTATTAATCAGAGGGTGCCGCATCAGCACTACCTGATGATGAATTTCTCTTTATCTTTTTTTTTAACAAAACGTTCTGAGTTGGTTGGTAGAGGTACTTCGTGTGCTGCAATGTTGACCTTAATGAAGAAGATAATGATGGATGCAAATATAAACAAATATTACATTTACTTTTCTTCGTAAAAATTTAAAATTTGAAGATACGTATGTTTAACTCTTATTTTTTAATTTTAAGCAAATACAATCAGTGTCAAAGAACTTTATTTTTTTTTACTAAAGTAAATATTACGTAAGTATTAAATTTATTGTAAGTCACAAAAAAATAAAGATTTTCGTCAATATTAACTTTAAAAAAGTATAAACTAAATGATATCGCATTGGCAAAGTTTTACGTTAATATGCAACATTTCGTTTTACCGACTCATGATTGGTATAATTTTTTACGATATTTCATTCAACCAATCAGCGATCGGATTATATCGAGTGGAGACGCAATGATTTCTTACTGTTTATTGTAAACGAATGATTATGACCGATGACGCTAAATTCACATTTGTGCATTTCTCAGTGGCGGCGTCCGTGTTTATTTTCGTGCTATCATAGTTTTATCGTTTCTTTTGCTTCAATATTAAACCGTACATATTTCTAATCAAATTTTGAGGTTAATAATATTTTTATTTCAGAATTCATTATGTAATGGCTCATCTTCGAAGCGGAATTCGAAATGAAGACGGGTCATGGACATACTCTTTACAATCCTGTATCGAACAATTTATGAAAATTCCAGACGCAAAAATTGACTTTGACACTTTCTTAAACCTAACTGTGTTATTGTCAAAAGATTTGAGAAACCAAACAATGCATTTACAAAGGAAAATATACGGACAGATCAACTACACTTACAGAAAATGTCATCGATAATATACAGCAACGAATAAATCAAAGTGTTACAATGTCCGTATCAAAGTTGTCTGCTCGAACATATATTTTTTTTGTTCAGTTCGCGCAAATATTCTCAAATTTAGTTTGTCTCTAAAACATTTTAACTTTGAAATTTTTANATTTTTTTCTTGGATTTCTCGTCGACAACTTAGCAACTATTCGTTTTAGACAAAAATGGAAGAGGAAAAAAAGTTTTGTAATTAAATTTTGAACAAGATAGAGTCAGTTGCAATTCGAAAAAACAGTTATTGTTGTTGCAAAAATCGGAAAAATCATTTAAAAAATTGCAAAAAATGCTAGTTTATTTGTCAATTTTTTTCAGACACTTGAATAATACCTAGGATATTCATACTATTCCTAATTAAACTTCTTAGTGTATAAAATCATCACACCAAATTTCATCCGATTCGGTTTTTACATAATAATTGTTTAATTTTTTTAAATTAAAAAATGTTCAAAATCAAATTTCTAAAAATCTAAAGCTTTTGAATACTTGAAAATTTCACCACAAAAAGAAGAGCTTGCAAGCTTTAACATGCTTTTTGAAAAATTCAAATCGGACGATTAGGTGAGCCGTGGTGATTGTTTAAACATTTTCGCTATTTTAACGCGTATAAACAATTGCAATAATTTAATGTTTTTTTCATTTTTTTTTTATTTTAAAATATGGTTTGAAAGTACTCGGAAAGACCAGTATTTAAAAAAAACTGATGATCCGCCCATTATTTTCGGAGTTATAGCCCGTTAAAGTTAACCTTTATTTACAGCAAAACTATAAGGGTATAAGGGTTGTTTTTTGAACTAATAGGTTTGTCATTCCGAGTACTTTCCAGATATAAATCTTCAAAATTTGCAATCACGGGCGTCCCATTTAAAATATCACTCAAAGATATTCAATGAATGAAAATATCCATAAGAGAGTGAATTTGTGGATAACTAGTAAAGGACATCATTTTGAACATAATATGTGATGTTTTATCGCAAATATGGCAATATAGGTTACTAATAGTTTATGAATTTGAATTTGCAGCGAAGGAAAATGGTTTGCAAATTAATGTAACATTTTCGTAATGTTATTTTATCTATAATAAAAAGTAAACCGTCTATGTTTATTTTACTCTGTATTTAATTAAAAATAAGAATAAATCGTTTTACGTTCACATCATATTCATTTTGTTTTCATAGTGAAGATTTGCAATTTGTTCGTGAACAAATGAAGTTTAATAGTTTTCTCCTTTTAATAAGCATTTAAACGGATAAACAAAAGTAGTTTCGATGGTATCTAATACTAAATTATATGCATAGGGCGATTAGTTCGTTCTTATGATAAAAGTACAAAATTTCCAAACGTTATAAATAAAATATTTAAGCGAAACAGGGTTTCATTATTAAAAAATCAGAAAATAATTAAGCATTCATCTCTAGTTAATCTATCAAATTTTAAACGACTAAGGTTACGAAGAAATACGGGGAAGTTTTATCTACGCCTTCGATGTCTCACGTCGTTATGAAAAGAAATAGTTCCTCGGCATACCACGTAGGAGTGCAACCATTTTTTTCGCGGTGTAGACAGCCAACTTTATTACCTGTCATACCCCGTGAGATTACATAAATCATTTACTTGATATTTAGTCTGTCACCGGGCCCTTTATTGAGAAATGAAAGACTTGTCTGCTGCAATTTGAGCTCTAAAAGGTCGCCATATACCTATCGGGGATCCTTTTACCGAAAAATCGAGTCCGTTCGGCCGAAATAAGTCGCCTGGTTCCAACTCAAAGCACGCTAAATGAACTTGAGTTCACGACAAAAAAAAGGCATTTGAAAGTCTAACGGGAAACACTGAACTATATTTTGTATGAGAGTCTTTAAATATATCTAAAAAGAATATGCAAGGGTTGAATATTTTGAAGATTACCTAGATGTCTACATTTAACTATATACAGGGTGCGCCATTAGTGCGTTGAAGTACGATATCTCCTTTATTATAGAAGATATCAAAAAAAGTTATTTACAAAAATTGTAGCCAACTTAAAACTACACATTTTAAAATTATTTTCGTATATACAGAGTGTTACGTATTACCAGGGTGGACCAAACATACTATTTTTAAATGGGACACCCTATATATATGATTTCAAATTTAGATTAAGCTCATATCTCCCATGCTTCCAATATAGGGTTTAATTATGTTATACAGGGTATTTCAAAAGTTATGGTCAATTGTATACGAGAATCATTATCATTTCAGCGTGCTGTATACCCTAAACAGAACAACTTAACAATATTTTTTTACAGACATAACTTTTTGATATTGGTGCAGTTTTACGAGAAAGTGCTATTTCTTTATTATTGCAACAGCTGAAAATAATGAATCACCCTGTATTTTATTTTACAAACTGAAAATACATTTTATGTTCTTTCATTTTTATAAAGCATTCCCAATCATTAATATCTGAGATATTTATCATTTGAGTTGGCTGTGGGCAAATGACAGTATGACAAATTGTAAATTGTAAATAAAACATTACAAAATATCCGTTGTTAAGACGAAATTCTTATAATATTAACCAACTTGTTATAATCTGAATTTTTTAAAAACTCTATTTTTGTTATTAAATGGTAAATACTCGTATATCAGAAATTATAGGGAATAATAGTTTTTCTGCAAAAAATTTTGGTATAAAAGAGTCAAACTGGAGGCTATTTGAGAAAGCAATCCTAAGTCAAATGTAGAAATAGTAAGATCTTTCTATCGTGGTTATTTTTAAATCTTCGTAGAGGGTGCTAGAAAATCAGCAACGTTGCAAGATACTTCTTTATTTAACAGTTTCAATGTGTCACGGATGTGTTTTTACACATATAATTTGTTATTTTAGGTATTTTTGGGTGATAGTACCAATCATGCCTATTTTCGTGGTTTGCAATCATTGTAGTTATTTTTCGCAAAATCATCAGCTAAGAATCTTGTCAATTGCATAGCTAGATTGATATATCGAAGACAAATTTTTGAACTTATTTGAATCAGGTTAATTCTGTTAGAGTAAAGATAAAATTGTTGTAATTATGAAAGATTACTCTCAATAGACTCATTTACATCTTACATCACATAGTTAAAACACAAATTAATTGTATTAAATACACATTTAATATTCGCCCTATACAGGGTGAGTCATTAATAATGGTACACAGCTTAATGGCAAATTGTTAACGTCAAAATATAGCGATTGAGCCAAACATGCCTTAATCAATTGTTGCTCCTTTTCGTTCTACAGGGTGTTAAAGTTGAACAAATATTTTCGATTTTCCTTGCTTGAGAATCTTTTATAATTAATAATTTCTTAAGATATGAATAATAAAATTTTCAGTTGCTGTAATGTTTGTCTTAATTCTTAACTTAGGTTTGGTATCTTTTGACCTGATAATTTTCTAATTTAATGCCCGCCGAATCTTAGAAACTTAAAACGTCTGTAACTCGAAAACGGTTGAGTTTATCGGTTTGTAACATATATACCTTTTTTATTTAGAACTAAATGTAGTTGAATAATTTCTACTTAAATAATTCAAAATTGTAAAATATAAAAAGTTAGACATATTTTTACATTGTTAGGGCAGTATAACTAGCGCCCCCTAGATGTTACCCCAACACAGTTTGCATATTCGTATTTGCTACCTCAAAAAACGTAGAACTATATATTTTCAAAACAATCGGTCCACACCTAATTAAAATATAGCAAAAAGTCGAAAATATTTTTTTAACCTTAACACCCTGTAAAACGAAAAGGAGCGTGTTTAACTCAATCGCTATGTTTTGACGTTAACAATCTGCCATTAAGCTGTGTACCATTATTAATGACTCACCCTGTATAATTGATAAACAAATTGATATTTATCTGACACTTTTCTGCGATGAAAGTACATGTTTGGAATTTACATTTCCATCGTGACTTGCGATTGTGTTCGTCATTGTACGCGACAAGAAACAAAGCTCGTCTCTTTTCCCACGTATCACCCACTCAAATACCTGGTTTAGCAGATCAGATGGCGATATCTTTTCAAAGCGCATTCGGTGTTCTCCAACAATTCAATTTTCTCGGAACAGGAAGGAAAACGATTCGGGGTAGGTTTCCAGCGTACACACATATGACTAATAGCTCAAAGTATGTTTCCGAGTCGGCTTGTCTTTAATCTCGGCTGTTTCAAATTCAATTTGGGTAAATAAGGAAACGGGCGAGGGAAATCGTCGAAATAAATGGGAAAGTACTTTATGCGCTCGTTCCAGGGTAACTTATTAAATTAAAATGCTGAGATTAATTCGATGAACTATGTTTTTGATATTCCGATGCAAAAAACCAAATACAAGATATATTTAATGAAAGAAAATTATCACAACTGAATACTGTTGAAATAAATTATTGTAAGAATGCGGTCACAAAATCTGGAAACACCTTGTACGTCGTCGTGTATTTTAATTATGCCATCAATTGTCACATTTATGTCAATATAATCCAACTGGGATTAAAATCTATTTGGTATTAATCCAACGAATGACCCTATAACAACTTCATAATTTCATAATGCTGCCAACAATGTCCATAATGATAATTTATGGATACTTATATCTTATTAACTGTTCGAATATATGTATGTACGTTAATTTACCCAAATAAAGATCACCATTAATTCTGTTACGCCACAATTAATCCCTTACGTAATTAATTTGGCGTGAAAATCGTTTTGCATGGAACAGCGAAGCTAAAAAACGAAACATGCGACGAGTCTGATTCCATACTCAGGTAAAAATTTATGGAAATTTACACAGTGAATCTCTTGCTAAACAAAACAAAAGAAATTAACCATAATATACTCTAATATAAACACTTGGGAATTTTATGCGGACTATTTGTAACTTTTATAAAGGAAATTATTACCTTCTCCCCTAACTCATATCCGGATAATCCAAATTTCGTCGTAACTTACTAATATATTTCGGTAATAAAACACTTACACTCAAAGAACAGTGTTTGGTGTCTCGCGGCACAGTAATTCCAATTTAAAACGTAATTTGGAGCACATAAAAGACAGAATTGTTACTTTACTTCCAGAACGGAATTCTTTACTGGTATATGCTCTACGAAATGTGTAACACGCCACTTACGCCTCTAGCGCTAAGAGCTCTGGATGGGAAATATGTGCTACATAAATATAATACGGATATGTATGCGCAATTAGAGAACGTCTAGTACGGTAGTTTTATTGGTTCGTTTTGTAAAGGAGTTTATAAAACAAGAACTGCATTAGAAACGGCGATAAAATGTGTGAAGTAATAATAATGAAATTATTATTTTTGAACGACAAGAGAAACACAAAATAGTCACTTTCAGTAATAAGAGAAGTACCTCAGGGGTTTATATAAGGTGTAACTTTAAACGGGGCTCAATAGTTTAGTATGTGTTAAACAGAATATTGATATGCGGCGTGCGATGTGCAATATGCGATGTGGGATGTGCGAAGAGGGGCGTGTGACGTGTGATGTGACACGTGTGACGTTTGGAGTGCAAAGTGACGCGACGTGTGATAATGCCGATGATAAAAGAAACTCTGTAAAACGAAATATTGATGACTTTGTATCTGTGTAACGGTATTTTGTAGCGGTATTTTGTAGGAGTCTAATCCTTTTTTTATAAATCTAAACAAACTTGAGCAGAAGAAAAGTAAAAAAGAAATACTTTTTTGTTTTAAAGCAAGCTTCTAGTTTTAATATTAAGTGGGTTATTTCGAATTTCAATTAGCGGGTGCAGCGAGTTCAGGGCCCAAGTAATTACTGCATTTAACTCCGACTTGTGCGTTAATGAATCATCAACACTGGCGCCATAAGTTTATAGTTCCACACCAATTAATCTTTCCAAGTAAACCCCGTTAAAAATTCTAACTTACAAACTAATTTGCTGTAACGTTTCCGTTATTAACCAGGCAAGCGTCGTTTATAAATTATTATTGGATTTGATGAACTTGCCTAAATGGAATTCCCCCTTTTCTCGACTACATTAATCCCAGCGCAAACGCCAAAAAGAGAAAGGGCCAAATTTACTGGGCGAGCGAAATGTACAATATAAAACCTTAGTTAAAAACCTAAATTTTGTCCTACATAATTTTCTAGTTTATCTGTTTATTTAATTATAGAACAAAATTAAATGGATGATTAAAAAATTAATTACACTCTTTAAATTTTTCTACAAAGATTTGTACTTTTAGTGGTAGTTGATTAAATCACTAAATTGTGATTCACCAGGATCGGGATTGCGTTTTTTTTTTCTTTTAGAACGAAAGATTACTTTATTATCCAACATGGGCTCCATTAACTTAAGGGGGGGGGATAGTCATATTTAAAATATCAAAATAAACAATAGGGTTGTTGACTATAAAAACAAACCATATACAAATTGTTGTTGATACAAAGATTTTATATAAAAGAACCTGCCTGTATAGTAAAATTTTAAATATATGACAAATTAGTGGTAGAAATCATTTATGAATTTTGCGTTACTTAAAAACTAGTCTGACGTCATAGGGGGCAATTGAACAAGAAGCTAGTAACGATCCTATTGCATAATTTTGAAGAAGAAAATATGTCAAAATTGTATGTCAAACCCTGTTGCCCTGTTTCCTGTTTTTTAAACAAAAGTGATACTAGTGACAGCAGTCTATCAATTAAGAGTATTTGTGATAGTTATTATTAATTTCCTGATTGTAATGGATTCAACAAAATTTAAGTGGTGTTTTGTTCCACATCCCACATAGCCAATTGCATTATCTCCATAAGACTCCCGAACTGCACTATAATTTTCCATAAATAAATAGGTATTTATATAAATAAACACAATAAAATCTTTCATTAAATATATTGATCCTTACGTGACTGCTTTTATACCCCTGATTTCGCCAATATTAAAACGGTCGTCTCTTTTTAAAAATTCAATTCATGATAAAATATAAATTTTCCATAAAATTTCGCTAAAAGCTTTCACAAATACCGTTTCACACATTCCGCTTTAATTCTAAGGGAAAATATTAAATGATTATTACTAAATAATAATTTTACTTAATAAAGGAATTCGAATATTTAGGAAAATAACTCGTAGACTTGAAAATAAAACTGACAGGCTGACACTACTGTCAGTGTTGACAGAGCGTCCTCTTCCAATGTTTTTCCTTTACGCAATCATTTACACATAACGTCACAGCCGTTTTGAAATGTTATAAAAAAATCAGTTTTAAATAATTATTTTAAAACTGTTCTGACGCATTTCTCAATCTCTAATTGTGTATACACACTAGCTAGTACGTATAGAATTATATTATTTACTCTTTGAAATTTGGTCAACAACCCTATTCCCTTTTAGGTGTAAGATATGTGATGTAAAATCTAAATTATTTTCCATATACAGGGTGATTCATTAACAATGGGAAAATCGAAAGCTGAAGATACTACACGTAAAATGGTGACCATTGACGCAAATATGCCTTATCCGAAAGTTGATAATTTCGGATATACAGGGTGTTGAAAGTAAAAATTTTAAATCGTTTTTTTGCGATTATTCAGAAACTATGTAGGTTAGGAACTTGAAAATTTGTGAAACTATATTTTTTTAAGCGACGAATAAGATGCGTGTTGTAATTTCAGCATTGCTCATAGAGGGCGCCACTTATGACCTATTTTAACGAACATTTAGTTAATAACTTTTTACCCTGTATGTATACAAACCTGTATACTGTACTGTATGTATACCCTGTATGTATATGAAACTTGATTCAAAACCTGAAAGAGCAATAATTTTTCCATGAATTATGTACTCTTGTTTTATTTCAGTATTTCGATCCGTTTTCGAAAAAAAATCGATTTAACGAACACTGTTTTGATAATACGAGAAATTAAAAGTGAAACAAACGGTTTCTTCATGTTATTACAACAATGAATGATAAAACAAATGAAATACGTAATAATGATTTAAAATAATAATTGGTCGAAGAATCCACCGTTGACACTGATACACTTCACACAACGCTTTCTGAGATATCTTCAGGTTTGAAACAACATATTGGGATTGCGTCTGACTTCGCTGGCAGCGATTCGTATTCTTTGGCACAACTCTTCACAGGAACCAATAGATTCTTTGTAAACTATATCTTTCATTCGAGACCAAAAAGAAAAATAAAGAGGATTGAAGACTGCACTTCTGAGTGGCAAAGCAAAAATGCTTACATGGCCAATCCAGGGATTTGGAAAAATTACATTTAAATATGCACGCACTGACCGAGAAAAATACGATGGAGTTCCGTCGTGCATGAACCACATGTCTCTTCTTAAATAAAGTAGAACTTCTTCAAGCCGTGGAAGCATTTTTGCTTGGCCACCCAGAAGACCAGACTTCATCCTCTTGATTTTTCTATTTGCCTCGAATGAAAGATATCATTTACAAAGCATCTATTGGTTCGTATGAAGACTTGTGGCAAAGAATACAAATCGCTGCCAACGAAGTAAGTTGTAATAACATGAAGAAACACTTAGTTTGTTTCTCTATTACTTTCACGCATCGAGATACCGAGATGAAACAAGAGTACATAATTAATGGAAAAATTATTGCTCTTTCAGGTTTTGAATCAAATTTCATACAGAGTTAAGTTATTAACTAAATTTTCGGTAAAATTGGACGTAAGTGGCGCCCTCTATGGGCAACGCTGAATTTACAACACGCATCTTATTCAGGTTTCTAACCTACATATTTTCAGAATAGTCGCAATAAAAACGATTTAAAATTTTAACTTTCAACACCCTGTATTTCCGAAACTATCAACTTTCGGATAAGGCATGTTTACGCCAATGGTCACCATTTCACGTGTAGTATCTTCGAATTTCCCATTGCTAATGGTTCACCCTGTATATAAATGTAATCCACATCATTGATATATTCATGGTAGTGACAGCTCATAGTTTTAGAAGTAAAGAGGTTAACTATTCCCTTCCTCCCTTTACCCATCTTAAATGGTGCCTATGCTATCCAGCACTATTGTCAATTTAACAGCAGATATTTTACAGCAGATGTAGTGTATTTCAAATAAATTGGATCGAAAAAAAAAGTGTTTGGTGTATGGAGTAAAATTTGTAGCATGCGTTAAAAGAAGAAGAATGGATTTCATTGATCTCTGTGTTTATGTGGCCAGTGGTCTTCTACCTGATACATCATCTTCGCCGTCCAATATTTGATTATTTCAAATATTTTTTTTTTGTTTCATCAAACGCATCGTAGATCAAACGTGTCCGCATCCCATCGAACGACTGATGTTAGCGTCGTAAGATTGTATTTTGTAATGATATTGAAGCTGCAACTAGAGAGTCCCTTCTCAAAAGAACGCTGCTTGTGAACAACTATAAAGCGAGACTTAATGGCTTTGTAATATCTAACGTTCTTTTGATAAAAGCTATTTCCAAATAAATAGAGCGCCAACTGCCGGCATCATTTATTAGCCGGTTTTTGTACAGTTCCATTTACAGCTCTATCTGATTCCAGATGAATATTTCAGCAAAGCAATAGGGTAATGGAGCAGTGGAACATTCGATTCCTGCTCTCCAACTACAATATAGCATAACCAAGGAAGCCATAAATCGAATGTTAAATCATTCGGCCATTTCTCTCGGCTGTAATGGCCATTGGGGAGATACCATCTTACAAAGTATATCTGGATGGCTGCCATGCATACTCCCGCTTATCTGCAAGTACGTGCATGTACGTTTTCTTATATTACTTTCAGGAATTCCACTGTAAATTTCCTGGGTACGTCAGTGCCCCCGTCACGTTTAAACGGAGGAATGCCTTGTTATCCGCCCTTAGTACATTGTCTCGCTGCTCTCATATTTCCATTACATCGAGTCATAATAATAACACTTCAAAGATACCGCTTCCGAGATTCTACAGTATCTACAGTCGATATTATATTCATATTTCATGGGATTTATCGGAGGAACGAAGGAAATCTGGACCCTCTTGTGAAAAACATTCATGAATTGTTCCTTATCAAGCGTTTTATCTTGTTAAAAGAATAGGAATTGAAATCCGTTTTGTCTGACAAACTACCACAGTATTCGATGGATATCGCCCGACAAAATATGTCCAACAAACCTATTTGAACAATTTTGTAGAAAAATAATCATTAGTTTGGAAAGATGCAAAAATCGGACGTATTGTAAATTAATTGCTCATTAAAAATTTAGTTACTTTATTTTATTTTTACTTTGTTACCTTTATCCTTTGTTCAACGCTGTGTAAACTGATAAGTATTAATTCTTCCCACTTATTTCAGTCGATTTAGATAAAAAAAAAACTGAAAACTTGAACATTTTATTGCGCTTCGTGATGGGGAAGGGTATTTTGAATGATAATATCAAAAAAGTAACCCGAAAGAAGTGGCGCTAAGTTAGTAATGTGCAAATATGCGGCAAATTTAAGTGTTTTTTCACTTTTTTTTACTGTCCACGAAAATCTAGACGTCCTATCGATCGGAATGTTAGTTATTTTATGTTATAGGCAATTAAATTACCTACAATAGAGTCATTTTTAACTAATGTGTGAACTGTAAAATATTTTTTTTGGTTTGAGAAATACAGGTTTAAATTTTATTTTGAAATTTCTCAATAATTGAGAAGCATGACTCTGAAAATTGGTAGTATTGGGTTTTTTCGTATGAGAATTACGAATTTTAAGCTTATTTTGACGTTGCTCCTAGAGGGCGCCTGTTTCGCCGTATTATTTAGGTAAATCAAAACATATTTTTTTATCTGTTGAGCTATGCTTAAAAAAAGTTAAAAATCAAAAAGAACGTTCAATTCTACATAAAAAATGTACTCTTGTTTAGGTCGCCAAACTTTATCGGTTTCTAAGTTATTTGCATTTAAAAGTTTCAATGTACGTATTTTGTGGTGAATTTTTAATCTCAAAAATTGATAATAGTAATAATAACAAACCTTAAATCAAATGCTGGAAGTGTCCACCACCTACCTCAATATATACACTCTCTTGAATGTCTCTGAATATTAAACAAAATGTCCCTATTATTTTTAAATGTATTCGCGCCTCAACAGAACTAATTTCTTCACGATACACCACATCCTTCAAGTTTGACCATACTGAGAAGTCCAGAGGGTTTAAGTCTGGACTTCTAGGTGGCCAACAAAATTCACTCCCACAGCCAATCCACCCGATGAGGAAAATGTTCATTTAAATACTGGCGTACTGGCAAGGCAAAATGTGGTGGCGCACCGTCATGCCTAAACCACATACTTTCTCTTAAAGCGAGTGGTATATCATCTAGAAGCTCGTTTAAATTATGTTGAAGAAAGTTTAAATAATGAGGTCCAGTTAGATTGGGTGATAATTCAAAAGGTCCTATGAAAAAAAAACGAAATTAAGCCACACCAAATATTCACCTTAAACTTATGCTGAAAATGTATTTCTTTTACAGCATGCAGATTTTCGGAATACCTTAAATGATTGTTCTTCAAATTGAAAACTCCCCGTCTAGTAAATATCGCCTCATCGGTAAATAGAATCTTCTATTTGTATATTTTGTACAAACTGAGCAAATTGTAGGCGAGCTGGTAAATCTTGAGGTAATAATTGCTGAACCGGAGTATAATGATATGGATGGAGCATTTTTTTTTTCTAAATTCTACAAATGGACGATTGGCTTACCCCCGTTGCCGCACTTAACCGACGAGTACTCATACCGGAATTTTCTGAAACATTAATTAAAATTCTTCATCGACTGTGATAGATTTTGGAGTACCATGATTACTTTTTGATCGAAAAGATCCAGATTCGCAGAAATAGTAATATCAGCGCCTGAAAGAAAAGCACCACAAAATACATTCAAACTTTTAAATGCAAATAACTTAGAAACCGATAAAGTTAAAAATTCGTAATTCTCATACCAAAAAACCCAATACTACCAATTTTCAGAGTTATGCTATTAAAATTTTCTCAATTATTGAGAAATTTCAGAATAAAATTTAAATTTTGTACCTTGAGCTCAAACATAATATTTTGGTGTCTAGTATCTCCAACTTAATGTTGACTCATTATTTCTGACTCATCCTGTTGTATATGTGGAAATAAAAATGAGTAGGTAGATTTTTTGTTGTGAAATATAGGCAGTCCCAATACTTTATTTCTAGTCATCATTATAAGCATTGGATTTTCCAATTTTGAGAGTTATGTTTTACCGCATCTCTCATCTCTGAAAAAAACTGAAAAGTCATAATTCACTTTTCATTTGAGACACCCTCAAAAAGAGTATAAAATTTAACGGTAGATATCAGATATTCCGTGTAATTACTACAATCTTTAGGCGAGTTTTATCTGCTCCTGGCTGCAGCGCAATCAACTAAAAGCCCTCTTATTGAATTTGAAAATGCAGTCGCTCTTTAGGAACTGGCTGGAAAAAGAATTTCTGATTTGCCGTGAGACATAGTTGCTGTAATCCATCCTGCTCAGCTGCAGAATCAAGCGACTTCATACAAAAGGCTCGGCCTTAGATATTGAATATATGTTTTATGTTTTGGTGGATGCATTCGCCTCCGGGGAGGTTCTTTATCATAATGATCGTCGTAATTCCCGCTATATATCTCGGTTAATGCGTGCTGTTGAGATTTACGGACCGTATAAGGTAATGGTTGCGGTGAAAATCTGAAGCTCACCGCTTGAAATACGGAGTTTGACTGCATTCCACCTGGGATTAAGTTATTTATGAATTTAATTAACAGGTGTATAGTAGAAGAGGAAGAAAAAAAGACCGTTTTGATACGTTTATGGTACACAGTATAAATTACTTATACTCTTTTCATTTGAAAAAGTATCAGTCCAGGAAATGATTTTATAAATTTATTTTTTTTTTCAAGTAAAAAGAGTAACTGAAAATATCACAAATAAATAATTACAGACGATATAATAAATTATTTTATTGTATAAAATGTAGTAATTGTATTTAATTTCAGTTCCAGTGCTTTTTGCTCAACATTAAAAACGAATTTGATGAAATTCGTAGAGAGTTCTTTACTTTTGTTATCTTTCTTTTGTAGCTAGAAGTTTGCTCACACCTTTAAATATTGAATAAGCCGAAAAGCCTAATAATGAATATTTAAACGTAAAATGTAGCAGCATCAGCCTGAAAAATAAATATAAAACTTTGTATACCACATATTATACAGAGTGATTCAGTCAAAAGGTCATTAATTTTAAGGGAAAATACGGAAAAATTAGTAGAATACCAATAAGCGATTAAAAACATTTCAAAACGAATATTTACGCTGAAAACAAATTTTCAAATCATTGTTTATACCCCTTTTCGGACCGCTCTTGACCCACAAAGGTTTATCGAGAGTGAATCTTGACCTACCGTAATATTTGGTCATTAACCTAGCTTTTAACACCTGTTTAATACGTAGTGAACGACAATGAATAAACAGAGCTTTTTACCAATACACATGAATGAATAAGATTTTGTTTTACATTTTTAATATTAACAAGTATTATTTATTTGTTAATAAAAACAAATGAATAAGGATAATAACTGTTTTCGAATGTTAGTTAGGTTTAGTATTTTTAATATTGTTAACGTTTTCACTGTTTTATAATTGAATATGAGTTTTTAGTTTTAGTATTCAGTTCAATTAATTATTTAGTTTGTAGTACTTATACCCAGTAACATAACAGTAGTATGGCACCCACGTATTTAAAATGACAGTACTGCTGAGAAAATCATTCACTCATCATTTTGTTAATAAAGTTGGATCTACTGTACTTTGATTTTGAAACCAATTGCAAAATTCAAATCGACTGGGGAAATCAGCTGTTTCTCTTCAACGTTCGAACGCTTTATAATCCGCCGGGCGTTCCCTGTTGCGAAGTATGTCGCCGAATTAACGGGAGTTAAGGGGTAATTTGCTTTTTTTCGATTTTCTGACTTTATTAGGCCTTCTTAAAATTAATGAGATTATGACTGAATCACCCAGTATATTAGAGAAACATACCGTTTATATCTTTTCATGTGAAATTTACATTTCGTCATATCTTCTTTGAGGACATATTTCTTTAAACCTATTAACAGGTTCTTAAAATAGTTGTCCATATCTATGGTGTTGATGTCAAAATTGAACGTAATTTTGTCGTTTTCTTTCAATTTTTCCCATAACTTTAATACGTTGTCATTTTCGATGTCCCATTCGTTTATCAAGAAGTAATACAGCACGTCCGATATTTTTTCCAGTTTGGTGTACAGTTTCTTCACTCTAAATAAATACAGTCCATTTAATTTCACTTGTCTTCTTTGAACAATTATTGATATACTAACCTGGGTTTCCTGCAAAAGATTATGAGCATTGAGTCTATCAAATAGGCAGGTACAGTATGCAACAAGAACTTTACTATTAGATAATTGTATTTAGTCTTTACGAGGAACAGCATTTGGTACCACATAGCTCTTTTAAAAGGTATGTAGTCTATTTTCTTGCAGTCAACGTATTGCTTCATCGGTATTAGAAGCTTGCTGCCTTTTGCAGAAAAGTTCAGTACTGGTGGGTAATAATTTTCAGACGTGGTTTTCCTAAAATATACAAATTAGCAATCCTTAAATAATTACAAACTATAATAATTATAGTTAATAAAAGAGGATAATAAATATAAGGTGTCTTTATTCTGTTGGTTCTTAATGACATAATGATTTATTAAAAATTAAGGTAAAGCACATTCTGATATTCAATAATGGACCAATACACTCTACAAAATCGGCCACAATTACCAATCAGTCCTATTTTACTATGGCATTGTTAACAACATTACAAGCTCTGATTAAACGGGAAATGCTTTTAACAGAGGGAAGCCAGATGTATAGATTTTGGTAGAGCCATGCTAACCCACTAAAATTATTGCGTTCACATGTGCAACACAGTTAATATGGTGGCAAGTAGGTGTTTATCGTGAATTTTAATGAGTTTTACTTTTGAAAAGGTACAAATAAGCTTTAAACCTTAGGGTGAAAACATTTTCGAGCAAGATATTATTTTATTTTTATTCTGGACTGTTTTTTAAATTTTGATGAAGTGCAATATTAAATTCTTACCCTTTACAGAGCAAGAATATATTTTTATGAAGTCTTTAGTACATAAATTTTCATAATATTGATCAAACTTTAAATGAAATAGGAACGAGAATTACTGCGTATCAGCAGTACTAATTATATACAGGATGTCCATCTTGACAGGCATTATCTCGGAAACTAGTCGAGATAGAAATAAATGTTATATAGAAAAGTGTTTTCTGCAGTGTTTTCTGCTTAAAAAAATACGTTTAATCATTTTACTTCCAAATGTACAGGGTGTTCCAAAAAGATGATATATTGCGGAACTTAAATTTTTTAAATGGAACACCCTGTATATTTTTATGTTTTTGGGTTCTCCTTTTATTTCTGTACATATTTGATTAACCATGTTCTATACCAGTCATTAACCGCTCTTGAGGTAAAGTAGAAAACATTTTTGGAGTACCATTTTTTTAATAAGTACTCTCAGGAATAATATAAAATAAAAAACATATCTATTATAAAATGTGCTCAAATTGTCGGCCATTTTCATTTTGACACAATTCATATCTGCTTAAAAGTGCTTGTGTATAAGAAGACCGAATAACTTCTGGAGATATTTGACGGCTACCACGAGTGATTTTATTCTGTAGATCTTCAACGTTATTTGTTTTTTCAGCGTTGCTTTAAATGTCCCCACAGATAAAAATCGAGAGGGCTCAGGTCAGGTCACCGTGCAAGCCACCTAACAGGTCCCTGATTACCAATCCAGTTCCCTCCAAATTTTTCAGTCAAAAAATGCATTACAACTTGCTAGTTATGAGGTGGTGCTCCGTTTTGCTACCACCACATAGTGACTCGCTCATTTAATGGAATTTCTTCAATAAGATCGGGAAAATCTCTTATCTCTCTCTTATCTAAAATCTCTTGAAAAGGACAAATATCTATCACCAGTCAGAGTACCTTGATAAAAGTATGGTCCAATTAATCGTCCATTAAATAAACCGCACCACACATTGCTTCCCCTTGAAAATTGGTTTCTCTGACCCAGTAAGGATTTTCGACAGACCAGTAATGACTATTATGCCGATTAACCATACCATTATTGTGAAAACGTGCTTCATCGGTCCACATAATTTTATGTAGGAACTGAGGGTCTTCATGTAACTGAACCATAACCTAGGTAATATACTTCAGATGTCTGTTATAATCATTAGATCTGAAATTTGGATCAAAGATAATTAGTAAGGATGGTGTCCATTATTTGCTGGAATTCGCTGAACCGAAGATTTGCTTATATCAATCTCTTCCGCAATATTACGAACAGACGCATCTGGATTGACTACTATAATTCGTTCGACACTCGCCATAAATAAGTAACATATCAACATATTCATTTGGTGTAAAAATTAATGGCATATCTAAAACTTATTTGAAAATTAAATGGTGAGTTTGAAATTTAATTACTGTCAATGAAACTGTCACAAAGCTACATTGAAGAATTTACTACTTTATTTATTTAAGAGTATGGAAAAGGTCTGAATCAAGATTAAACTATTCATATATCATAAACCGTTAATGATAGGTATAGAATATGGTCTATCAAATATGTTCAAAAATAAAAGGATAACCCAAAAACTTAAAAATATACAGAGTGTTCGCATTAAAAAGTTTCGCAACACACCATCTTTTTGGGGCTCCAAAATAAAATGATTAATCGCATCTTTTTAAGCAGAAAACCTTTTCTATATAACATTTCTTTCTATCTCGATTAGTTTCCGAGATAATGCCTGTCAAGATAGCTCTGGGACATCCTGTATTTTAAACTACAATAATATTAACTGGCTATTGCAATACACTGAAAAATCTGTTAGAATTACGCCAAACCCATACAGTTCCATTAATATAGAAAGTGAAAGCGACAGAAGGTCATGAAAACGTTGTGTCAGTGTACATATTATTGTTTCATCCGAATGAATTAATTGCTGAACATCACATTTTTCGGAACTTTCTCATCATATCTGAATCCGAAAAATTAATGGTCATATTACTCCTTATTACCATCTTTGACTGATGTCCCACGCCAAGCACAACAAGGCATTGATGCACATGTCTCCAGGGACCGTATGCGACTTGATATCGCCATTGGCCCTGACTACTCTCAGGATGCCACAATGAGAAGAGAGCAGAATGCCCAGAGGACCGTACAGATTGTCCGACCATCCAGGAACTGGCTCCGATACAGTCGATGTCACTGGAAATAGACAGGAATTCATTAGATTTACGTGTTTAATCGGAATTTAAATATGTCAGGCCGTTAAGGGATTAGGACATATTGATAAACTAAATTATACCCTTGGGTAAAGGGAATTTGGTAACAGCCAATGTTGTGGCGAAAGGTGCAGTTTTAATGAAAGAGTGAATATATTCCTGGCAATAAAATATCACACTCACCGATAGCAGGTCTGAATAAGCCTACGGGAAGATTTTTTCCTTTGGTTAAGAGTAAATTTTCCGCGATTGCTTTGGAATAGACGTAAGAATTTGGCCATATTCCTATTAACCTGAAAAAAGCGACTATAGAAAAAAATATTGGAAATAGTGTAGAGGTGGGTTAGCAGAATATACTTACACCAACTAAGGATAGCGTAATATACAGCGTCTTAGAAGTTTAATTACCATAATTTTAATAGACGACGGAATTAATTAAACTTAACCAGCGCCACGGAATGACAGTAGTACGCTGCTAGCAAAATAATCAGTTGTTATTTGACAGTTAGAGATTCGTATTTGTTGAAAGTGTTTTTGAGTGAGACTATTTCGTTAGTTTTTCTCTTTGTTCTTTAAAAGCGTATGTATCACGATTTATTGGCTCCATCTATCGTGCTACTTCCCACCTACGCCATTCTGTGACCTACAATTTCCGTTCAAGAAAATATAAGTTTGATTATAATATGCTACATTTGTCTTGAATAATTCCTACATTAATACTAAATTTTAAATATATATATTTTAAGAAAATGGTAGTTTTGAAACAAATATCTTTGCAGTTTATGATGAACTGTTAAGAGATATTGTCGCTAAAGTCCTAGATAATTCTAAGAAAAATTATAGATTACAGCAAATATTTCACATAGTTTGACGAAAGTATATACATTTGAATAGAATAAAATAACATTTATGGCAAATAATATAACTATCTGCTCATTTGATCCAAATCCAGATTTTTTTTCAGTGTACAGCGGCTTCAAGAGTAGATTTCTCCCCTCGTAGACAGTTTTTAAGTAAAACAGTCCTCAACCATCGTTTTGTTTAAGAATTTTGGCGTGTTTAATTTTCGTAATACTCAGTTATATTATAAGTGATACAATATGATTTTATTCTGACCGGTTGGTAAGGAACTTAGATATTTTGAATACAAAAATCACTGTTTCCATTATTAATTGTGTATATAAACTTTTCATTAATTTATTCTTCTACTTATGCTGAAGTAATGGCAGCCAAACTTCTAACACACTGTATGGTAAGTAGTAAATTTATTTTCTTGAATTGTTTATGAGAAATTTCCAAATTGCTTTTGTGTTAATTTTGTCGATAAAAAATATGGGAATCTGGGTATTTAGGGAAGCTCTGCTAATAATCCTAATTCGAAATAATCAAACTCGTTCGGTGAGAAGTTTCACGGGCCATGTTGCATGATAAAGTTGAATAGGCGAACTGAAATAGTTTTTCCGTGAGCGGCGACCGGTATTTCACTGAATAGGTATTTAGAGAATGTTTCAGGAAACGAGGAATGACGGATACCAGGCAACGGGTTGTTCTTCATGTATTCATGAACAGTGCATAACTATTTCCCAATTTTTTACCTGGATTTTGTCCTTTTATGGATCAGTTCTTACGTGCAAAATATCAACTAGTTATAAACGTTTTTTTATGTTTGTTTAAGAGCAGTAACTAAAATTAAAAAATACGTACCCAGGACTAATACTAGCCAAAATATGCTCATTTAAGTCTTCCGTCATTCTAATCAGTAGGTCAGGATCAATTGGAGGCTCGTAGAATCTCTCTTCGATGCGTCGCTCGTAACAGTTTGAGTAAGCTGTGGAGACCAGAACAAAGGCATGAAGATTTTTTACCTCTTTCATTATCTCCAGAATTTCCGCTGTCCCTTTGACGTTCGTGGTGACTGCATCAGCAAGTTTAGAATCCATATTCAGCGATGCTCCGCAATGAAATACCACGTTAATCTACGAAAATAACGAAAACTGTTGCAACACTTGTTTATTTTTAATGAAAACTATCGTGTTTGCTTTGAATCAAACCTCAGCTGTTCACACGGAAATGCTCCAGCCAATTGTTTATTTGCCCTTGAGATAATGTAATTTATGGGTACCAAAATGTAGCGCAGGATGCCGAAATTAAGAGAGATTTTTCTTTGTGACAGTGGTGCCTGGCCAGCGCCCGAATAAGGTTGATATTATATCTGTGTGCTAGCTTGAATACATTTGTTTAATGAATTGTGAATTTCTGACTAATATGCCATACTCGCCCCAGGGCGCGCCACGTGTTCCCGGTCTTAAGATCTGTGGTTCCTTCGAAGTGTGCTTGTAAGTTGGTGTTGGGGTAGGTGACATAATAATAGTATGACTCACACACCCGGTAGTTGGGATGCTAACTAGTTGGCGTCCGGGGGAGCCTCAACTCATTTCAGATGACAATAGTTAGTTGTTGAAAAAGAATGACACATATTTGCTAATTAATATAATGGAAACGTATGGAAAGACGTACTTTGAATTCTAAAGTTAGGGGGAGTGTAACCCCCCGGTGAGTTACCTATCAATTTGTTTTTTATTGACAGTACAGTAATTTTGTTATTTGTTTCATATACATTCTTAATTTCTCGCGAATGACCCGGCTGTTGTCGAGATAAACTGCTTTGTGATGGCCCATGTATAAAAGGTAGCAATATCAACAATAACATCTATTTTACACTTTTATAGTTATAACACACAATAAGTGCGGTAAAAAGCCAGTTATCACAAATAATTAGTATTACAGTGGATGTTTATTTGCTTTACGAAATGGATAAACCATCTTAAATATAGATATATAAAGTTATAGACTGAAACAGTGTATTGGTAGCAAAATATAGAAACAGATTAAAAACAAGATAATACAAACGAGTATTATTAAACCTAACTAATACAAAACATTCAAATAAATAGTTCGAATAGAAAGGTCTCGAAACTTACAACGCAAAACAATGCAAAATAAAAAGCCAAGATAGAATTATTCACAGTTATCTGATTGAAGATGTATCTGATTGTAGAAGTATTAAAACTCACCTGACTGACAACAGCTTTAGTAGCGAATGAAAACACATTTCAATAAAGCTACTTGTAGATTACCTGGTGCATTAAAATTACCCGACGCAATTAAAACAAACCTCACAGCTTAATCTAATCTTCAGTTCTCAAACTCGTGATAACTCCAGATATTAAACTGCGGATTAATATCTGCGATTTTCAATTAGAAAGAGATGCATGTTGTTATGAGACCCCTATATTGATTTCTAATGCTGGGGAGGCGGGTAAAAATTCAATTTTGGGGTTGGCGAGAAGACACTTATCATGCAAAGTGTTCTCCTGCTGCTGCAGGAAATTTATGGTGGCAGATTCCCTGCACATTGTTTAATGCGTTTTGCAGTACTAACAGAGCTTTACTCGAAATGCGCTGTAGTAAAGAAAATACGTATTTGGGTTATCTGTATGAAATTTATTTTTCTTGATAATTTTCAGTAATAGTAATTACTTTTTCATAATATAGAATACTATTATTGTATATTTTAATCTTTTTCGAGGATGGGTTAGAATTAGAAGTTACGGTTTCGTAAATTATGTAAAACTTGTGTAATACTGTAGTTTTAATGCTCATGTATTTAGAAAATTGGGAAATGACTTAAAGAAAATAGACATTTTTACTTTGTGAATATTTACGATATTTAATTGAGATAAGATACATGACGAATATTGTTCAATATTTTTAACAAATTGTTAAAAACTTGCGGGCATTTTGCTGTAAGAAAAATATATTTAGTCTATCGATGGTAATGCAAAATTTAAATCCAAAAAATAATATTTAATCTAAATTTGGTACGAAGGCAGATGGCGTAAATAAGGATATGTTTATTTATTGGAGCATTGGTTACTTTGAACACTTTGTTTTGTAACAAAAAGTACATAAATTAACGTCTAAAATAACTGTTATCATATGTATAAGGTGTAAACTAAGTACGTTAAAATATTTAAGTGGGGTATTCCTGAGCTAATTCTAAGAAAAAAAGTTATTTTCGATTTTCTTAAATAACTTTCTGAATACTGAAATACGATTTTAGTTCATATTAACGTTTTTGCGATAGTGTTTACATTAGTTTTTCAAGTGTCAAATATGGCTTACGTGTATATCAACTCGGTGTTGATGGCGATCGCTTTAATTTATGGTGAAACAAAACAACATTTGTGTTATGGAGAAGCATTTGTGTTAAGGTGAATCAAGACAACATTTGTGTTAGTTCGTAGAAATGGGGTAAGAGGGGCACAAATATGTTTACACATCGGTGGACAAAATTTTGAACGGTTGTTGTGACATCAAGTATGTTAAATTATTTTATTAATTAAAACCACAAATTAATTTTATTATTTAATAATAACAATAGTGACAAAAGCAGTTGAATTTGCTGATATAAAATAAGATTTCATTTATTTCTTTCCTTGGAAAATTCTTTAAACTTTTTGTCGGTTCATTTTTTATTACACTTTGCCGCCGTGCCGGTCGTCGACCGCATGCTTTGTCTTGTGCAAGCTCAGGTTATACAGCGGACCAGTTTCCAGTGCCGTGCAGAAGTGTAAATTTAAATCATTTTCGAATTGCTCTTTTTGATTTTTTTCTACAAAATTGAATTTGTAAGAATCCTCTACACATTCAAAATTAATTTTTTTGCATACATTCTGAATCACCTTGTATATTATTACTGAAAACTACTAGATAAATAAAAATTACTACAGTATTTACATAATGCAGTATAATCTTTTGTTTTTATAATTTTTTATAAGTTGAGTTGCTGGGTTGATGCATCAATCGATTTGTTATTTTCTCGGACGGCGAGTTTCTTTGTGGCTTTAGTTTACTTTAATCAAGGGATAATACCAATATTCACAAAGTTTTATTTATCTGTGCTTTTTTGAGTTTGGCGGACTGTACCTCCTGATAGACATACTTAATTAACATCTCAGTTATTTTTGCGGCAATTTGTATGAATTAAGTAAAACAAACAAGCTCGGCTGAGGCTGAGAAAAAGTTGTGTGGGAGTCTCGCCTCAAGTTCCAATTTCCTGTGCAAACGCGCCCCCCCAAGAAATTAAGCCACCACCGCCCCTAAACCTCGAGAGCTTAATTAGCTCAGACTTAATTGACCCATTAGGCCCAAAGAAAAATTAATTACATTTTAATATGCATGCCGAAACGCGGCGAAAAAACGGTTTTACGAGTTCAAAGACATCGCTTCCGCTAGGTGAGGGATCATTTTATGTTATCTGAATTTAATTACAATTACATTTTAGCATACTCCGTTGGCCTTAACGCCGAGGGGTGTTTTACGGGTATTTGTTGCGCGTGATGTCACACGACCTCTGACCCTGGAATACTAAAACGCCGGATGAAACCGGAGCAATTTCGGCAATTCGTTCAAGCTCCATAAAACATAGCGGGATTAAAGCGGAGGCGCAGATTAAAAACTATTTCATATTTTACACAGTTCCCTATTTTTCTTTAAAAAAATATTTTTGTGCAATGGTGCGATGCACACTAAATACAGGATGATATTTTTCGAAGAAGTATCGGAAACTATGAAATAGAGTTAAATTAAATAAAATTTTCATAAAATTTTAAATCGAAACATCGATTACACATCCACACAAAAAAAAGTACAAACCCAAGAAAACCACATATGATTTCCGAAGGAATTCGATGTACTGGAGACGATCCTGTAGTCAAAATTCATGACTTGCCGATTAATTTTTGGAGAAAAGTGAAATTTTTGGGTGAAACTGGTCCAAATATGAGTTAAAACTGATTTTTTCCATAATTTTTATCCAAATAAATAATTTTCGTGATATTTTAAGGTGCAGAACTCGATGCCATTAGTAAAATATACCCATGACCTCGATATTTCTCAGAAAATCCACTATTTGGGTGAAAATTGGTCCAAATATGGATCAAAACTATTTTTTTTTTCTAGACTTTGTCCAAATATATCATCCTCGTAGTATTTTGAGGCGCTGAACACGATGCCATTGGTGATATTTACCTCTGACTTCTGATATTTATCAGAAAATCCTGATTTATATACCTGAAAATTAAAAAAGTAACTACCTACTTTAACTTTATGAAGTTAAGAAACATAAAGACTTACCACTTTTACCTCCAACATCAAAAGAAAAAATTCTAAACACTGATAAAAATATTATTATTATTCAGTACATAATTTAAAACAAGCTTAGTTGAAAAAATTCATAGAATTTTAAAATGTAGGCAAATGCATTGCATATATTGACTTAAATACAGAATAAAGAAAATTATGCAAAAATTTTTATAAATTGATGAACAATGCCATTTTTGGAAAAACTATGGAAAATGTTAGAAAATATAAAGACGTAAAGTTAGTCATTAGATGGTCAGATTGATATGATGCAAACCATTATATTATTTTAAAGCCAAATTTTGTCAGTTGTACAATTTTTGATAAAGATATGGTTATAATTGAAACGACTAAACGTTACATTTAATAAACATGTTTATATAGGATTCAGTATATTAGATATTTAGAAAACAATTGTTCATGATTTTTATTATAACTACATTAAAAACAAATATAATGATAAAGCAAAATTACTGTATACAGACTCGGATTCTTTAATATATCATTTATTCGTTGATATGAACATATTAAAGATGATATTAATTTAATTAGTAGTATTTACTTTCTCAATGTTCAGGTAAAAAAACACTAGTTTTGAATTTTCTGAAAAATTTTGAGATCATGGGTAAATTTTACTGATGGCAAATACTGCAAAAATTATATATTTGAACAAAATTTAGAAAAAAATCAGTTTTGATCCATATTTGGACAAGCCTCACCCAAAAATGTCACTTTTCTCCTAAATTTGTAGTGAAGCCATGAATTTTGGCTACATGATCGTGTTCAGCGCATTGAATTCCTTCGGAAATGATATGTAGCCCTCTTGGGTTTGGACTTTTTTTGTGTGGCTAAAGTTTACAAGAGTGAGGACCCAATCCGGGGACACACTGTACATGACAAAAGTGCAGTTTATAGGTATACCTATTTATTGAATTGTGAACAGTTATGAAGAATACTCACTATACTTTGAATGAGCTCAGTATCATCCTTACTCAATCCTAGTCCTTTTTTTGACAAATCGCCTTCGATAATGTATATCTTTTTGGTAGCGTTAATGTCCATTACTTTGACTTTTTCAAACACCTGAAATGATTTCGAATGTAATATAAGGTAAACAATCTAAATGATGAATGGAATTGGTCCAAATCGAGTCTCCTTGTAAAATGTGATAATATTTTTGGAAACCACACCCTTTAATTAGTTTAGCACATTTTTTGGAATTTCCAGTAATGTGAAAGTTGGCAATGGACTTATTTCTTCGAAAAATTATTAAAAAAATTAACATTATATTGTAGTATCTAAATCGGGTACGAGAAACTCAAGAATGATATCAGATTACTCGTAACTTTCTTACTTTTCCAAATAAAATATCAGGGTTCTACAAACTTCTCAAATCGACGACCTACATAAAATATAATGACATTTACCGACTCAATGTCCTCAAATTAGTTTAAGAAAAAATTGTTGTGGTAAATAAGAATTAGACAATAAAAGAATTGAAAATACGCTATAACGTACCGTTTGTTCGTATGTGCCTGAGCTAGGTTGAGCGTAAGTCTAAATGGAGAAAATAAAATAAAAAATGCCGAGAAAATTTTTTTCAAAATTCTTATCTGGATATTTCAAATAACACTAAGCACAACTCTATATATTTTATGTAGCTTTCTGTAACATCTGTAATAAACAATCAATATTGTTTAAGAAATACATTTTTCCAATTTTGAACTAAAATAATATGTATTTAATAAATAAACTTACAGTAATGTATGACTTGCCGATGGAGTTTGGAGTGTTCATGCGTAATGTTGTGTGAAATGAAATGAAGGCTCTTTAATTAATTAAGTATAATTAGAAATAATATTAATCGCATAGTAAACGGACAATTAATCAAACATTAAATAAAAATAGGTAACAAATATGATGTTGGAAATAAAATATGTTCCTGATTCATCCGGTAACAACGGCACTATTTAGTCTGGCGATACTAAAACTGCAAAAATGCATTACATCGCCTGGAACACCTACTAAGCTCTAATCATGGTCAGGAGTTGACACAGCAGATGGTCTTTTTGTAGGTTAGCGGACTGCAGCTAGTTGTGAGGAACGAATGGAAACTTACCAGCTGTCCTGATATAACGATATACTAACCGCAAAAAAGCTAGACAGGCATACTTACGGATTTATGTCCATCTTGTTTTTGCAAAACTCACAAAGGGACCGAATCTGAGAGCTTTACTACTGTAGTCATTTAAATTAATGTTAACAAAAATATTTAGAATGGGATGTAACATCCTAAAATTTCACAAATAGAGCAGCTTCTTCCTTCGCTAATAATGAGATTTTTCTCTACGCCTTATAAAATTCGACATGCGCATCACTTGAAAACTGAATAGAATGCGTATAATTCCATTTTACCCATTATAAGTTATATTAAACAACTGATAACTAATTTTATATAAGAAGGATATAAAAATTTACATTTAAAATGATTCTAATCAACTGTGATTCATGTATAGTCAATACAGTTATAATATAATACATTCTAAACAATAGTTAAGGCTGAATTTACATACTCTAATCGTGATTCTGATAATACTTTATTGAATTATTGTGTTTAATCACACATTCACACATTTTATAGCATTTTGTCCGTTAACTTACTTGTTCCTCTAGCAAATTACGGAGCCGTTCGTCAGGACACAGTCCCTTCTTCGGTCTCACGATCAAGTAAATACCGCCCACGTCACAAGTCCTTAACAGTTTCTCCACGATTATCTTCCCCAAAAATCCGGTGGCTCCGGTAACCAGCACATTTTTGTTGCGGTAAAAATCCCTGATGTCGCTCGACATATTCAAATGAAATACTCCTGACTGAAAGTTATCGATGGTACTTAATAGTGTTATGGATTTTATTAAATATTAAGAAGAGACACGCAGAGGGTTTTTCGAAATGCGCATGTATCTGCTATCGAACGACGGTTAACAGTACAATTAAGATAGCCCAGCAAGGTCGACTTGTCTTATTTGCAAGTTTTTATTTATTTGGTATTAAGGATGTTCTACACTCGGAAACTCATTAAACATTTACTAAAAAATAATTATCCAAAATAAAATGTAATGTTTAAATAACTAATAGCAAAACACATAACTGATATGTTTACATTCTCAAATAATGTCCATCAGAAAAACATACAAAAATAAGACTTAAAACTTGTAACTTTTTAGAAGAAGTTTACTTAGTTTGAAATGTTTTTACTTGGAGAATCTGTGGTTACTATATGAACAGTGTTTATTGGACACCCTGTCCATATTTAACAGACGCTGAATATAACTGCTAATTAACGATATAATTTTTGCAAGATGAATACTAATACTTATAAACGTGTCTAAATCTTAAGTCATTATTTAACATTTTGTACAAAATTGTTAAAACAACCACAACTCGTTGGATAATAATTTGTGTCACAACTTTGTGGAAACAGAAGATAACAGTAACACATAAATAAATAAAAATAAAAGTTATAAAGTAATAAGCTGAAAACAAATCATAAGGACTAGTGATATTTTTTCACTTTCACTAGTGATTAGAAAAATAAATTACATAATAAAAGTTTGGCACCCAGGGTAACATAAGAAGATGTCGTTAAAAATAGTTATTTTGGTATATAGAACGGGAAATGGTATTTTGACGAGCTTAGCGAGACAAAATATCCATTCGAGAACGCAAAAGCCTTTCACGATAGCAACTTAATAAGCAATAAAAATTAGTTGTTTGAAAAAGTAGTATCAGAATTATATATTGTAATTAATATTCTAAGAGTGTTTAATTCAAAAAGGTCTCGGAAAGTGAAGACGAGCAGCAGTAGACCAAGAAATAAAGGTGAAAAATCATCGAGAAATCGTGAAAATTACTAGGCGTGATTTTATTGTTCATAAGTCTTGGGAATGATAATATAAGAGGCGTCTCATCTCGTTGGTCATGAAAAAAGTATAGCATCATTGTTTTTTTTTCCAACAAATAGGTCAAAAATTCGTAATTTTTCGTTCTACGCGTTATTGTAAAAAAACTATTAATCTTAGCAAAAAATGTTCGTTCAGCAGAAGATTTGATCTAGAGAAACTCATCTTTAAAATGAGGCTTTATAAGTTAAAATTGCTTCATAAACAAAAAATTTATTGCAAAATTAAGTTTTTATATCCTTAAGAGATGTGCAAAAGATGGGCTCGCTCGGTCAAATAGTTTTTGCAAAATTCCATTTATTTATCTCATTTTTGCAAAAAAGGCCCATTTTCAATTACTATTCCGAGTGCAAGGTTATGACTAAAACATTCTTTTTGGGCTCATTTTCTTCGAAGGGACACCAAGTATCCTCTAGTTAAAAATTTTTTGTTAATTTTAATTGAATTTGCCCATAATTGATCAATCCAGAGCCCGTCAAAGTAAGGATAGCCCTTCAGGTAGTGGTGGGGGGGGAATCTTCCTCTCAACCAAAATTCGTAATATCTCAGCTTCTATGTAACGTAGAACCTTTTTTTTTAATTTGGGGTAGCTCAACGAAAAAATTACTTCTGGATTATTTCTACCCTTGTAAAACCACCCCCCACCCCCTAAAAATGAATAAAAAAATATATATTTTTTTACATATTTTTTTTATTTGAAATGTTTTAGACAATAAAAAAATGTTGTCTAAATTATTTTAACCTTCAAAATTAATTTAACCCCCTCTACCCCCAAATTGAAGTTGAAATTTATAATGAATTAATTGTAAAAAAAATTCTACTGTCAGTATCTATGAGTATGGAAATATTTTATAGATTTTTATATTAATTATAAATAAATATATTAATAATAATTTTACAAAATAATTAATCCTTTAATCAATATACAAAATCCATAATTATATAAAATGTATGAAAAAATAAAAAAATAAAAATATTGATTTTTTTGGGGGTTGAGGGGGTTAAATTAATTTTGAAGGGTTAAAATAATNTCCACTTGTCTTATTGCTGTCATTTGTATGCTAATTTCTATTAAGTATTATTCGTATCTAATTAAAATTACATCTTAGCTTACAAATTAAATTGTATACTCGTATACATAAATGTGAGATAGAATGCCGAGGTTTTCGTTTTTAGAGTTACATGAAATCAGTTGTTTATGGAGAAATTATAAACACTTTAGAAGAACTTTAGTAGCAGGTCTTAAATGCTGCAAAGTCATTTCGCATTAAGGATTTATACTTTAAAATAAGACAATATTTTAATAAACGTGTTGATAAATGTAGGTATTGAAGTTAGAGGTGGACATTTTGAGCAACTATTGTCAAAAAGGCATATTTTTTACTAATGTTTATTATTTTACTGTTCATTACAATTTTTAATTCTAAATAAACCCTTGTTTTTGACATTTCTAAATTATTTTAATTATTTCAACTATTAGCATTGGAAGTTTCAAAGCCAAATATCTCGGAAACGGTGCGCGTTAGCTACTTTCATAAAATCTACCTTTTTTGTGTAAAAAAAGTTGGAAAATAAGAATTTGATAGAAAATATGAGATATCTTAAAGTACAAAAAAGTTATGTCGCTTCCAACAACTTCAATCTATGGCAGCTGGTGCCCTCTATGAAGAATAACCAAAATGTGAACAAATTTCAATTCCTCTATCCAAAGAACCCCAAACCCTAAAATTTTGTGTAGATATTTGCATTTATTAAGAAATAAATGTAAATAAACTAAAATAATATTTTACATTTAACACCCTGTATCTCTTTAACTATCAACTTTTGGACTAAGGTAAGTTCTGCTAAATCGCAATATTTTTACTTCGGGCATCTACCCATGAATTTTGGTCCATTACCTCGGGACCACGCGCTCGACCGTTTCTATTCATATTCACGACCGTTTTTCACCTATTTCGACTGCATTTTATGGAAAAACGAATATAGACATTTTGTTGCTGTGCCTGTCTAGTTTCAAATTCCTTTATTGAATCTTCAATCTACACGAGCATCCAGCCCTGCTCAAAAAATTGGAAAAAGGCGCTTGTGTAAAAGCTATTAGCTTGACAGAATCAGGGTTTTGCACACATAAAATACATGTAAATAGCTAGTTGAGTGCAAAGTTTTAGTTCTCAAAATTAAAAAATGGTGGAATTGTGAATTTTTAAAGAAAACGTAAAATATTCCGTTTTTTCCTGATTTTCTCCGGTTCTAATTATCCGATCGGAACATTCGACCTCTCATTCTCTTCGTAATTTCATTCTCTACGATTCGTCCACAACATTAAGATTGCTTCAGTAGTTTCCATTTTATAAGCAAATTTTGCTCTGTTGCTTGGCTTAAATGAGCGTCTTTGCTACTCAGCATCAAGAAATTCGAAAGACGACGGTAATTTCTAACTTTATGATCAAAACTTCCTAATAAACTAAATGCTCATAATATTTACTCCAAATGTATGTTACTTAGTTTAGGACCGATATGGTGTATTATTGTATAAAATTGTAGGAAAATGTTATATAAATTTTGTTCTGTGTAATTTTATACTTACAACACACTTTAAACACCCCTGACACGGTTTTAGGGATTACAAAATGACTGTTAAGTAAAAAGAGGCATGCTATGACAGGACTAAATTGCGGGTTCAAGAATTACAAGGCACGCAGCCCGATAACCGTCTAGTCCGCAGAGAACGAGATGTGTCGCGTCGCCGTCTCCTTGAGACCCTCGAAGAAGCGACGCGCCCTGCCCGGACGAATTCGATTTCGCTAAGTAAAAAGGAAATTAAGTTACTTCTCAGCGCCATTTGTCACCAGATATATCACTGATGCAATTAAAATACATGCTGACTAATCGCCCAATTTATCTCCTGACTTACTCTAATTTAATGAATCAGATCGTGCATCTATGCCTCCCCGAATTAAGCGTCGCGACGCCGGGGACGGGGTTTGCGTTGGGAATGAAGCGGGGCAAAAAAATTCATCGGTTGGTGAACGGGGCCTTTTTATGGAAGCGCCTACTCATCCGTCTACGGAATATCGATATTGATAATTGGTATTTATCCAGCTGAAAAACGAACAGCGAAAAATGTAGATGAAAATACATACTTTGCGGGTGAAATATAGTCTAACAAAAAAAAATTGCCTACGAACAAAATGAACGTGACGATTTAAGGAGGGTTGGGCGCGTCAGCGGGAGGGAGAGGGTCCTATACTTGCTATATTAAATCATTGCTGCCAATGCAAAGAAAAATATTCTTTATGATTAGAAAGTAGGTAGGTTGAGATACTTGTTTGTAGATATTGAATAAAATCGAGTTTAAAATACTTAATTATATATGTCGATCTTTCATTTATTACCCAATATGCATGCATAATTATGTCGCGACTTACAACAGAATCTTCAGACAAGAGCGCACGAGATGCTGAGTTTATTATTTACAAGTTGGCAGTCCTTGTCACGATGCTATGTGATCGCTCGCACATCACCGATTGCTTTAACCTATAAAATGTCGGATGAAAAACAGATACCGTAGAAAGGAAAATTTGTGACCAAGAGAAAGTATGATACCTTGAGAATTGGAACAGAAAATGGCAAAAGCAGGAAAAGCGAAGAAAAGATTGTGGAACCAGAACCTCCGCACACCGTTCGAGAGCATCAACTAATCGACATAAGAGTACATGGCACAAAGCATGCATGCACTGCACTTTTTGCACTGTGATCACGAAGTGAAATTATAGTTAACGTTTAGAAAAATTAATCTTCCTTCATTACCAAAATTTGTGATGACATATGTGCCCCACCAGTACAAACATGCGTGAGAGAGAGATAAGCTGATACATGTGCATATGTAAAAGGATAAACACCACGTACAAGTGACGGTGCTTCATGTTCAGTAATTTCTTTAGTGAAAATGCCTATTGTTTTTTTTGCATGCTATGTAATAAAACAGATTTAAACAGAAAACAATAGTGAC